GAGGACAAGCTTCAAGGAGGGGATATGAAGAAAGAAAGAGATGTGGGAAATGGAGTAAAACAAGCCATAGGTGTAAATTCTCCTTTCCTGTCCCTTCTAAAGTTTCTCTTACTTCCTCCATCTATAATGGCCAATTGAAAAGAAAGCAAAGTCAATTCACCATTGCACACTTTGCACATACATGAGCAAAGTGCAAAATGCCTTCAAACTGAACACTACATGCATTTCCCTTTGCTCACATTTCAAACCTATACTCCTGTTATCTCTTTGAACTGTACAGTCTCTTTCTCTTTATAATTCCTGTATGGTCCTTGTGCCTCCAACCATCCTGCCAATTGGCGTCATCTTCTTCCTAACTACCACTGTCAGCTCTTCACTATCTATTAAGGGCTCATGTATTCAGTGGTTGGTCTTTAGCCTGGGAGGTGTGACGCACTCAGGAGATGGTTCCTGGTGGGAGGCCCTTAGGTGGTTGGGGGTATGTTCTTGAAGGGGATTGTGGGACCCAGTTTCTTTGTTGTTCCTCCTTTGCTTCCTGGCTGTGAAGTGAGCAGTTTGCTCCACTACCAACCCCCTGCCTGGCACTGTTACCAGAGGCCCAAAGCAGCAGGTCTACACAGTCTTGGATTGGACTCCACAAACCTCTGAGCCCAAATAACGCCTTCTTTCACAAAGTTAATTATGTCAGATAGTTCCTTACAGGGAAGAAATCTGATTAACACACTGACTTGATTCATTCTGCTAATTCTACTCATTCAAATGACATCATTTCTGCCAATTTGATTCACAGCCTCCCTATTAGATCATCTCCCTGCCACTGACAGTTTTAATAAAATAGATTTCTCTCCTGAACAGGAAGAGACACCACAAGGCTCTCAAGGAGAATGCTTTTCAGAGGGTCACTTGGAAGAGTCCTAAAGCTGGCTGGCTGGCTTGGATATATCAAATGGTACCTGTCTAGGGTTAAACAGAATTTGAATAACATCTGATCTCATTCATAAAGGAGAGCTGAGTTTGCCTGGAGCTCATAAGGAGGATCCAAGATTTCCACTGGAAACAACAGGTTTCTAGCACCTCACAAGCTTCACACCTATACGCCCACTTTTCTGACTCTCCCCTCTTTCAATAGGCTCTTCTACTACAAGAGGCCAGGGTCATACTTGTTCCTTTCATTTATTTTTTACTGTACTATTAATCCAGAGTTATTTTCTCTACCCATCTTCAACTTCACATCGATAGAATGTTCTTGAAGGAAATCAAACACCGGTTATCCTTGCAACTGACACAGGCCTTTCTTTCCTGATGTTCCCAGGGTCTTTGGAAGTCATCACTGTGAGTTTTTAGGGAACTTAATGTTTTGACAATGGTTTCTTCCATCATGTCATAATAAATGCAATACTTCACTTATATTACTCTCTGCTATTTTCTATAAAGTAATTGTTTGGAAGATCAGAAGTTGGCTTAGAAATTGCAAATCTATTCTACAGGAGAAAACAGGATCTACCTGCTTCACTTTTCCCTTCGGCCATAAATAATGAATTAAACAGGGTCAGTTGGTGACCCAGGACAGTCTGTGAGGAATTATTGGAAATTCTAAAAGGATTTTTTTTCATAGGATAGAAGACCTAAAAAGATTAAGAGCTTTTCCACTGAAAGACCCTAACCTTCTCTGTCTATCTGGGACATATCTATCTAGGTTGGAAGATCTGTAAGGGCATTTCTCATCTCTACAGTTACCTTATTGTGAGTGTTCCCAGTACAAATTATAGTCATTCCAGGGATTTGTGGAAGCTGTAAATAGAGGTGGTTTCTTCAAAGCTTCAGAATCAGATCAAGTATGAGAATCCCATACCCATCATTTGCCACCTATGCAAACTGAGAGAAATTTCAAATCCCACCAAACTTATAGTTTCCCCATCTACAAATTCTGGATGTAGATTAGAATATGCATGAAATTATAATATAAACAGAACAGTGATCTAGTTGTTAAGCTACTACTTTTTTTTATCATTAATTCCATTCTTTAGTCTCAAAAAAGTATTCTGTCCCTGATCTCTTTTCTTCTAAGATGGACTGAATTCCTTCTTCATCTGACAAAAATGGAAAACAGAACATCTCTAACATCAATCAAGCTCTTCCCTGGACATATTTAGCATAAAATCTTCACATAGAAAAACAGAGACAAACTTCTTCAAACTACAAAACACATATGTTACACAAAAGTCCTTAAAGTGTCCATACGAGACTGTCTGTAAGAATAATGGCATTCAGTGTGCAATAGCTTAACCTCATCACTCCATTTCCCTGAGTTATTCAGTGACTCCTCATTACAGCAAGAATGCTTTCATTATTTAGTTCGTAAATATCACATAAACAGGCATTCGTTACCTAGGCTCATCTATAAATCTGGCATTGTCTGCTATAATCAGCCCAGCGTCCCAATTCTCTTTCCAAATAGTTGGTTGCCTTCAGGCTAGTTGTAGGATCTTGTTCTTGTTGTTTTTAAGGAATACTTACTGTGTGTCATGCGTTCTGTGCTACAGGCCCTTTCATAGAGTATCTTAATGATCTTTGTGGTAGATATTAATATCACCTTACATATGAGAACACACACGAGCTTAATTTCAGTTAAAAAATACTCAACCATGAAAGAGTTGCGAGGGGACGCGTCCTGCCTGAGACTCACAGTTCACTCCTAAGTAACACAGGAAAAACGAACCTGTTCTTACTTAGGTGTGTAATCTCATCATGGATACAAAGAACAGAAATAGTTACCAGAGGCTCAAACGTGCAGGCAAAACGGAGATGATAAACCAATTATACAAAGCCTCAGTAAGATAAGAAGAATAAGTTTGAAGGGTTTTATATTTTCCATACTGATTCAATGATGTGATGAATACAGTTAATTTTAATAACGTGTTTTGATGAGGTCCCCACTGTCTGGGGCATGCTGGGGAATGACGTATTGAGCCTGAGCCTACCCTTCTGATTTTTTATGTTGTTTTTGAGATAGGATCTTACTGGCTTTGCCAGCACCTGCTAGCCTTGAATTATGTTCCTGCTTCCAATTCCCAAATAGATGGGACTACAGGCATGTACCACCACATTTGGCTATTTCTGTATCTTTTAAGGAGTAAGTCTCAAATGTTCGCATCACAGTTGTCGAGTAATGGGTACGTTAACTAGATTGATTTACTTACTCCATATTATATTAAAAATCATAACTTTGTACCCCGTAAGTATATACAACTATAATTTGTCAGTATCTCATTTGAAAGGAACAGGAGGTTAAAATGGCAACAAGATATACTATGATTCCAACAAGATAGGCTATAGTTAAACAGACTGACAGCCAGGCACTGAGGCTCATGCCTATAATCTTATCTACTCAGGAGTCTCTGATCCACAGTTCAAAGCCAGCCTGGACAAAATAGTACACTAGATTCCATCTTCAGAATAACCCGGAAAAAGCCAGACTGGAGTCGTGGCTCAAGTAGTAGAATGAAAGCCTAGCAAGCATGATCTCCAACTAAAAAAACAAAACAAAAAAGTAAAAATACCAACTGTTGAAGATATAAAGAAGCTGCTTTTCTCAGACACTGCTGTGCTTGTATTAAATTCTGTACAAGAATTAATTGGTATATCCACTCTTGAAAAATTGTAATTTCTTGCAAAGTTAAGCATATATTTTTAATATTACTGATTTTTTATTGTCAAGGTGATATGCAGAGGGGTTACGGCTACATAAGTGAGGTAACACATACATTTCTTGTCAAACTTGTTACCCACCCCTTAAGCATATGTTTATACAGTGATTCCCTTCCTGTTCTTCATTCAAAACAGAAAACACACAAAGACGTGTATGTGTTGTTCAAAAATCAACAAAAAGAGATCTCTTATTTTGTGGATGGGGCTGTTTTCATATATTATACATGGTCTATTTGCATGTATATCTTTGGGAGGGCTGGGTGGGTGAGAATAGAACTCAAGGGGAAAAGGGTGAAAAAGTGCAGCAGTGGAGTTCACTGGAAACAGTGATGAATGTAAACTATATAATTTGTGGGTGGAAATGGGAGGGAGGGACTGGGGGAGAGGAAGCAGAGGGAAGACAGCCAATGAAAGGCAATGTACTCATTACCTGACTCATGTAATTGTCATCCTTTTGTACATCACATTTGTAATAACAATAAATTAAAATTTTAAAATAACTCAAAAGAAGGATAATGCAAATATCCAGCCATTGATGATGGATAAATAAAACACATTGAGCCAATACAATGCAACACTACTTTGGAATGAAAAAAAAAACTATGGATGCATATGAATGTACAAATGAAATTCAAGAACGTAGCACTAAGTAAAAGACATAAGAAACTAAAGGCTAACTATCATATACTTCCATTAATTTTAGTATGATATGAGACAGTACTCAATTTGGTATAATAATCACCTTAATATTATTTAAAGTTAGAATTTGATATTTGTTGGTACATAATGCTTACCTTTATTTAGTAGTTACTATTAAGTATAACTGGAGAGGGACATATTTAGAAAATGGGAATTTTAATATGTAGTGGATAAACTAATTCTCCAAGGATCCAATGAGATTTCCAAAAAGAAACGTTTGCAAATTCTTCCTTTATTCTATTTCAAAGGCAGAGATTCAATATTTGCTTCAAATCTTTGAACTCTGAACTCACCTTTATTCGGTAGTCTCCATTTCCCTTTTATCATACTCTCATACTCCATTTTCAGTTAATTCTATTATCATCTTGAAAAACCTTACCCATATATATATATATATATATATATACATATTTGTATGCGTATGTATCTATATGTGTCTTCTTTTCCTTTTTAAACAGAAAACATGGATATTATGCATAAGATATTTAGTCATCCCTGACAGAAAAAAAGGCTGAAACCATGAGGTCTCCAAATAAAATAACGTCAGGGAGAACCCATTCCCTTACCAACACAGTTGAGTGGAGACAACTTACATTGAAGTCATACAGCACGCCAAAATTGGCTGCAGAAGCTTCTTCGGCTCTTGGGACGGTTTTCCTGGGTAAGCTGCCATATGGTAAGCCCCAGAGGTACTATGTGGAACAAAAGGAGCAGTTAACAAGTAGAAACAAAATCTGAGCCACACATGTGATCGCAAATGGTTTTATTTAAAAACACTTCTGCGACTTTTTCATGGGGACTCTGTGGATCTTCACGTGGGGTCCCATTTTCTGAGAACCAACTAAATTCGGCATTAAGAACAAAGGGGATGCGAACATCCCTGCTCCAAAGTTCTATAGACCGACTGCACGGAGGACCAGCCACAGTCTCCAGGAGCCTGGCTGAGAAGCCCCACAACCATCTCCAAAGAGATCTAGGAGGGAACAGAGGTAGCCATTAGGGACACACAGTGCCCAGCCCAACTGCACTGCCCACATTTCATGTAAGAATACATCCTTTGGGGTTGGGATGGAGGGAGATCCTCTCACTAATTTCAAGTAAGATGCAAGACATAAAATCAGCCTTGGAAGTGAAGGCTGTCAATAAGGAGGGGACAGTTGTTTCCTGGTTACAGTGTCAGTGTCATCTCAAATTCAAGATCGCTGTCCTGAATTTGTTCTGCCACAATAGTAGAGGAATATATACATGGAGAATCATACTAAAAGGCGGTCGACCATCGAAAAGGGCAAGAGTAGAGTCACAGGAAGGTGTCTGGGTGAACACTGGCCAAAGCAGCCCAACCTCATGGCTTTGCCTAGTGAAAACTCGTTGTATGAGATAGAGCCTTCCTTCCCTGGGGCTGGGGCAGAGGATGGGTACAGTTAGCAACCTTGGTGCGCAGTTTGATTGGGCAAAGGCTGGGAACCAACACCCGATCCTTTCCCTTTACATAACCCGAGCGATCGTGCACTGTTGCTGCTTTGGTCTCTCTGGCTTCCTGGTCTTCATAGAGAGGAAGTGCTCTCTTACATTTAATTGCTTCACCACCAAACACAGAGAACACACGAGGCTGAGGTGTTCATGGTATTAAGAGCCCTGTGGTTTAGGGACAAAGAAGTTTGGGCCAAAAGAGCAATGCCGTGGTGTAAAATTGAATGAGTCTGCTGGGTAAAATGATCGGCATGTCCCCTGGAGATGCCTATGGGAGGTCTCCGGCCCTTCTGCAAAGTCAGAAGGGAGCTCATTCTCTTGGGCTCTTATGCAGGTGTCATCATTACCCAGGAAATGCCTTGCCCTTCACATCTAACACAAACCTATGAAAGAATACTCAAAGTCAATAAGCTCCTAGTTCTCAGACTACAACCAACCCAACACATATTCATCCCATCCATCCCATTCTGGGCATTGCACAATCTCATTCAGTTCAAACGAATCAGCAACAGCTTTTTTTCTTCAAAAAGGGGGTAGCAAGATGTGGGGAGCGAGTAACTGTAGCTAACAAGACCCCATCTCTACTCATTCTGAAGCTGAGGAGTGGTTTAGTAGGTAATGAATGAATGGTGAACTTGCAGATTTTCTTAGAGAGATGAATAAAAGCAACAAGCTGGGGCATTTGAAATAGATGAAGTATGCGCATTCTTCAGAATATTCAATTGAGAAATAAACTACACAGGACTTCTCACTTACATCCACTGTCTTCTATGAGCCAGACAACCTTAGAAGCACCAAAATTATCTCAGGAATTATAAACCTAGTTAAGTAGAATCCATACTTTGGGGGGGAAATTAGGATCATGGATTTTAGTTTCACTAAGTCCAACACTAGTGGCTCATGCCTGTAATCCTAGCTACTCAGGAGGCTAAAATCTGATGATCAGAGTTTGAAACCAGTTAAGGTAGGAAAGTCCATGAGACTCTTAGCTCCAGTTAACCACCAAAAAGCCAGAAATAGAGTTATGGTTCAAGTGGTAGAGGATCAGCTTTTAGCAAAAAGCTAAGGGACAGAGTCTAGGTCCTGAATTCAAGCTCCAGTATGGGCACAAAATAAATAAATAAATAAGTAATTTGCTCTGAGACTTACTAAGTCATAAAACGGTTGTATGACTTGTTTACCACGTGGTTTAAATGCTAAATGGGGGATTGGAAACTTCTACACTGTCCCTCTTACATTTGTTGTAAGGTTCTACATGTAAAAGAAGGGAAATTGCATTCCATTACTCAAAGTTATTATCTTTTTGTAACTGTTAAGGCATTACTATGGTGCTAAGGAAGAGGCTTAGTACAGAAACTGTCACTGATTTTAGGCTTCCAAGGTAGAAAGTCAGTCACATATCAAAGTTTGTCCTTGCTAATGTACTGCACAAATTCAATGAAAATACTGCTACTTGAAAATGTCGTTTGTAAATTAAATACAATCTGACCCAACTCAGCTATGGTAAGCACCTAAAGAGATCAGAGTCATTTAACTTCTTGTGGACCCAGGTCACATTCAACCTGGCATTGTGATCTCAGTTTACCTCATCCACATCAGCTCAAGGTTCTGCCTTCTGTCTGGACTCTTCGCCTGCTTTACTTTCTGAATTGGGTGAAGACCCTACTTCAACCCATTAAAATATGGGTCTACATGTAAGGCAGAGAGGTATTGTATCTGGAAAATACTGCTTGTTTTGTGCTTCTTCCCTTTAGAAAATCTGGGTGCCTTAAATTTTATTACAAAGTTTTACTTTGAAAACAAACTTAACAAATTAACCACAACTTACAAGGTGCCAAAGCCTTTCTCAAGCACTGTGGCATTGATCTGTGCTTTGAGAGTCTCCTAGGAGACACTAACTTTTCCACCAAAAAAAATGTACATTTAAATGTAAGTATACTTAAAAACGAAAATATTTAGGTTTTGTGTAAAGATGACTTTAACTCAAATTTTGTGACTAAATATCTTGAATTTATGTTCAAGGTACAAATTTATATTAAAGGTATAAATTCAAGCCAGGTGCCAATGGCTCACACCTATAATCCTAGCTACTCAAGAGGCTGAGATCTGAGGATCACAGTTCAAAGCCAGCCCACGCAGGAAAGTCCATGACTGTTACGTTCAATTGCATAACAAATAAGCCAAAAAGTGGCACTGTGGCTTGATTAGTAGAGTGATAGCCTTGAGCAAAAATGGTCAGGGGTTCTTTGTTGCTTTGTATGTCCCTCCCCCACGATATAACCCCTGCTTTCACTTTATTTGATGTCGGTATAATTTGTGGAGGGGGAGGGAAAAAACAAATCGTTTAACTAGGGATACAGGTGGACCCATTGCAACAATGAGATGTACAAGTCGTTATGTTGAAAACGAACTTTACAACTTTGGTGTGGGGGGGAGGAGGATTGGGTGGTTGGGCAGGGGGAGGATGGGAAGGGAAAACAGAGGAGGAGGCTACAATGCTTGATAAGAAATGTACTCATTATCTTGCCCATGTAATTGTAACCCCTCTGTACAGTAGTTTCACAATAAAAATAAGCTTAAATTTTTTTTAAAAAATGTTCAGGGGCAGTGCCCATGTCCTGAATTCAAACCCTAGGACCAGGACAAAAAATATAAGTTCAGCCTCCAAATTCATATTAAATTTATATGTTAATGACTTCTTGTCATAGTAACAGGCTTACTGTCTGGGAAAATAGTAAATTACATCTTACATGCAGGACTGATTTAGATTTGCAAAGAGCACTTGTTTTGGTGAGTCTTCTGCAATATTTCAAATAAAATAAATTATAAGCTTGGTAAGAAATGTACGCATTATCCTGCCCATGTAATTGTAAACCCCTCTGTACAGTGTGTTCACAAATAAAATAAAATAAAATTAAAAAAATAAATTATAAGGAAAACAGATACAGAATAAATATAAGTGCCCCACATTTTACATACACTTTCACAAGAGTCAGGCACCCTCTGGGAAGGCTTAGAATCTTTGGCCTGAGGGAACCCCTTTGAAGGTTAAATTCACTAGAAATCCTATTCCTACAAGAAGAGAACATAGCCAGCTAGCTAATCACTCTTTTTAAAAAGAGATGAAAAGCATTGCTAGGAGAGCAATGACATAAGAAACTTTTCTCGGTGCACCTTATAAACTCAAGTCATATCTCACCTCAGGAAGCATGATCAGGGTAAATGTCAGGATAAAGAGAACCATATTTACGCCATACATCCATCTCAGGAAGAGGAAGTATGAAGCCACCGATGAACCAAACTGACCTGTTACAAACAAAACAAGAAGGTTTGTATAGACAGACAGACAGATAGATAGATGCCACACACACACACACAATGGAATTCTACACTTCCATCAGAAAGAATAACACCACCCCATTTGTTAGGAAATGGAAAAACTTGTAAAAAAATCATATTAAGTGAAGTAAGCCAGATGCAAAGAAACATAGGTCCCATGGTTTCCCTTATTTGCAATAATTAGTATATGTCTAGGATAATCTTATCTGATGAGTAGAACAGCTCAATAGCTACATACATAGGACCACATAAGATGTTGTTAAGTGAAATGAACTCCAAGACATGGACACAAGGGGTTTTTCTTTGTTGTTGTTGTTTTTAATGTACTATGTGATTTTTTTGTTTCTTTTGTATGTTCTTCCCCCTATGGTATATTCCCTGTTATCTCTGTATTTGATTTTGGTACCCTGGTATTGTATATAGGTTTATTTGAATTAGGTAAGAGAAGGGGAACAACAGAATGGTGAGACAAAGGACAAGGGGGAACCAATGCAACAGTGGTATACACAAGATGATATGTTGGAAGTGATCTGCGTAACTGGGGGGGGGGTGGAGAGTTAGGAGGAGTGGGAAAGTAGAAAAATGAGGGAAGGGGGAACAGGTTTGACAAGAAATATACTTATTACCTTACTTATGGAACTGTCACCCCTCTGTACATCACCTTGACAATTAAAAAAATATTCTGCCAACTCACAGCCATCCCAAACAGAGAAAAGATCTGCCCAGACATACTGGCCGAGGCAAGTCTCAGCTCTTAAAGCTGAGAATTCAATAAGAAACAAAAGTAGAAAGCTGAGGTTCTCAGGTTGAGATGGCCTAGATATTTACGAAAGCTGGCTTCGCTGACAATCACTAAAGATTCAGCGTCCAGTTACTAGTGTTCCCAATCTTTCCAATTATTTCAGTTCCTCAAGAAAAACCAATGGCCAGCCTCCATGACGCTCCCTGGATGAGCCTCCGGTTCATCCAGCCTCCGATTCATGACTTACGCACTTCTCTACACTGCCAGCCTCTGAAGTCAACCAAATGGGAAACATTTCCACTTCGTGGGGCAGAAGAAAGCCCAACTTCTACTTACCAACATGAAGCTGACCACACAAGACAGTAATACCTCTATTTCTGTAATACCTCTATTTCTGGAACATAGGTTTTTGTTTTGTTTAGGTTTTTGTTTTGTTTTTCCCTAAGTATCATTTCACTGATTCTTATAATACAGTGCAAGTTTTTCTTTTTTAGGAACTTAAAAAAAAAGATGACTCTGTAAATGGACATTTTAGAAGAAATCAATTAAAGAACTTGTATTCGTTTCACATCACAAGGCAGGTGGCATGCTATATGATTTCTAAAAGCATGTCGTTTTGATATAATATCCTCCCAGGTGCTGAAGCCACATGCCCTGGTCTGTGTGCTACAATTTTAAAGCAGCTCTGAATGTCCCAGGACATCTGATCACCCACCTGGCTCCCAGTGATTTCATATCATTTCACGGCTGTTATCTATGTTCTCTGGTAACAACTATCAGAGGCCTGCACCGCCAGGCTCACCCATCATGTTTTATTGAAGACAGTGGGCTTCCAGCCTGATAGTCAGCAGCACAGTCCCACATTAACTGGAGGAAAGAACCACTGTCTGTCTCTTAGCAGGCCTGGGCAATTTATTTTTCTTGAAGCCTGTGTGAGAGCTTCTGATGTAGAGTGCAAATACAAACAAATATAAACTTGCCTTGATCCCCTCTTTCCATCGTTTTTTCCCTTCCTTCCCTCTTGTCCTTTCTCTTTTATTTCTTTGCTCCCTTCCTCCTTCTCTTTGTTCCTTCCTTCACGTACTTTTGCTTTCCTAGCTCTCTCCATCCTCATCTACAAGCCCTGGGAAAATGACATGCTGACTATGCAAAAGAGAGAAGTGAAAGAAGATGTTTCAGAAAGTGTATTCTCCTCCTTCGACACACATGTGTCTTATGGATAAACATAAATACTTTAGATTCTAAAGCTTCCAAATTCCACTTTGGGGACTTCAAAGTAAATTCAAAACTATTATGTTGAAAGTACATTCTTTATCATGTCCAAGTATATTATTTTTTTGTCTTTTACATCCTGTGTGTTTACTTGTAGATTTATAGGTACTTTCTGTTTCTTTGGTTCTGGCTTAGTTTTCTTATTTTTTCCCCCAAATCTTTCCTTTTCCTTATGAATGATGGTACAATATTATTCTTTCTGATGGAAGCATAGAATTCCATTGTGTATATAGACCACATTTTCTTGATTCATTCATCCTCTGAGGGGCATTTGGGCTAGTTCTATATCTTGGTTATGGTAAACGATGCTGCAATGAACATTGTTGTGTTGGTAGCTTTAGTGTAGCCTTGTTTGTGGTCTATTGGTTAAATGTCCACAAGTGGAACTGCTGGGTCACAGGGAAGCTCTATGTTTAGTTTTGAGGAACCTCCATACTGCTTTCCAGAGTGGTTGAACAAGCTTACAGTCCCAGCAACAGTGTGTTCAAGTTCTCTCTTGACCACAGCTCCACCAGCAGCTGTTATTGTAAGTTTTCTCGATAATGGCCCTTCTAACTGGGGTGAGATGAAATTTCATTTTTGGCCAGAGATGTTAAACATTTCTTCATGTGTTTATTGGCCTTTCTTACTTCTTTTGAGAAGTCTCTCTTAAGTCTTTAGCCCATTTATTATTATTATTATTATTATTAATTGAGTTGTTTCTTTCCGGAGTTTGTTTTTGAGCTCTAAATATATTTTAGGTATGAGGCCCTTGTCTGTTGTTTGGCTGGTGAAGATCTTCTCCCATTCTGTAGACTTTCTATTGATATTGCTAGCTATGTCCTCTGTCATGCAGAAAGTCTCCAGTTTTCACAATGAGACCAAAGGAGTATATTCTTAGGAGAAGATCACAAAATTTCAATAGCTATGGGCATATGATCATATGAAATGATGCTTACAAAAATGAACTCCAAGAAATGGAAACAAGAGACTTTATATTATGTTGCTTCTTGATTTTTTTCTTCTTTTTCACTACTTTTGATTTTTGTACCTTGTGTCTTGTTTTGTATCTTGGATGAACAACTGCAGTAATGATACACATTAGAAACCACATTGAAAAGGAATTATATAACTTGTGAGGGAGGATGGAAAAACTGGGAGAAAACGAGGGAAGAAGTGACACTGTTCAGAAAGAAATAAACTCACTACCTGACTTATGCAACTGTACAGTGTCTTAACAATCACCATAAAATTGAAAAAAGGAAGTGCATTTGTTACAGAAGCCTAAATGCAAAGAAAACAAATTTCCATGAAGTAGATTTCATCAAAACTGTACTATTTTTTAGAAAAGACCCAGAAACATCTCAGACAGACTGATGAAGCCAGAGGACAATTTTCCATCCACATTGGAACTGTAGTAGCAGAGGGGATAAGAAAAGAGGAAACAATATTAAAACCAGATTAAACAAACCAATTGTTTGACATCAAAGCTGTAGAGGACCTTGCCCTGTCTCGACATAAAAGTGAAAGAAAGAAGTATTTCTTCTGAGTCCCACTTACTCTAGTAGTTCTGTCCTACAGGAAGTTGCAAACAAAAATTAGTGTTCACTGACAAGAAAATCTTCTATACAGTTTAGCTGAGAGGCCTAAGAGATGAGACAGATAATTTGGCTTACTTAGTGTCTCAGATAACACTGACTTACTTCCATGAGGGGAAAAAGAGTGGTAGTAACAATAATAATTAACAGCCAGTATCTCTGGCTGGTCAGTCTGTGTACTAGGAAATGTACCAGCCCCAACTTGGCTGCCACTGGAACCCAGTGTGCTTATGTGTTGCCAATCCCACTCTGTAATCCAGCAATCAGATTTTGAGCATAGCAGTTGGCAGAACCATAGGTTAGTAACTTCTTCGTAATGAATCTGCTCCAGACATCTCTGTGCATTAATTTATTTAAGCATCATCAAATCCCTATCAAGTGGGAGCTATTTTGCTCCCATGTTATAGAGACTTGTGACTATGAGTTTTAGAGCAAGCTGATGTCATCTACAGATGTTTGAATCCAAATCTGATTCTCTGAACCACCATCTTGCAGCCTCTCCAAATAAAATTATAGATGATTTCTTAAACAATAGGAAGTACCAAATAAATATGGGGGAAAAGGTGTGCATGTCTGAAAGTATATCAGCAGATAATCCATCAGTCAGCCAAGGCCATTCAAAATCACAATTTAAACAAGACCCATAAATAGCCAATCCTTTTTTCTCTGTCATCTAACACATAAGTGATGCTGTGGTAAATTATTAATGTGTTAAGTCTTTGACATGTGTTAAAGTGAGAATTAAGTGTGGGCATATTCTTGTCACGAATTTTCCTGTGTTTCTTTCAAATTAAGATTAAAGTTTACCTCTCCCTCCAGTTATTTATTACTCAGACAACGTAATTTGTAGTTTGTCATGATATATAATTTCCTCTTGAACAGATGTACAATAGGACCAGCAGATAAGTATGTGTGTTTCTATTGAAAAACAGGCCAATTAAATGACCTGCTATACGAGTACTACATAAATACCATTATGGTTAGCTAAGATATGAGGCACAATTTTTAACCAGCGAGTCTACAGGTAGAAAGTTAAATGTGGCAACTTTGATTTGTATTTCCTGGAGGCCATGGATTAGGAGAGAAAGATGAGGCTTAAATTCTGGGCTCTAGATTGCCTATCTGAAGCTACCTGAAGCCTGGAAAATCAATCAGTCACACCATATTTTGGGAGTTGTGTTCTACCTCTAGTTTGAAGGACATCCAACTATTCACTGAAAGTAAACAGTAATGTCAGTATTGCAGTTTTCATGGGATTTCTTGGACCAAATAGGCTTCGAAATGTGGTTAAAAAGAGTCCCAATGAGATGTGTCTTGCATCTGGCTTAGAAGGCTGGTGTACATATCTCCTGGCATTTCGAGGGGATAGACAGGTTCACAGCAGCTTTGGTGGCAGGAATCATTGAACGTTATTTTTAATGAAAGAAAAGTCACAACTTGGGTGAATATCTGATCCATTCTAGAAAAGGGATTCGTGTCTTACTGCAAATGACATGGTAATGGCATGAGTTTCAGACTCGGGCTTGAGCTCTTCTCTCATCATTCCCACTATTAGTCAGGTCTTGGGTAAATTCAGGGAAGACTGGTCATTCGAGACTCCACTAAAAATACTCGCTACATATAAACTTACCAGTTGGGTAGAAAGTAGAGGCATGTGAATTAGATGGATGTGAGTGAGGTACTGCTGCCTCTCTTTGGAACATACCACTTACCACAATACCTAATAATTCTCTCTGTTCAGAGTTTATATTTTATGATCTGTCTTCCCCATCCAACATTTACCAATTAATACATTTAGATACATAATTAATGAAGTCGGAGCTTTGCTTCTCTTTAACAAAAGCAACAGTGCTTAGAAACACACCTAGGACATGGAAATTTTTCAGTGAGCATTTGTTCAGGTAATTAACCAATAATGCCAAGATCATTCTGAAGATTAGATATTGTATCTAAAATGACTATGGCATTTAGATTGAATATAACTTTTTCTGAGCCTTTATATGATTTCAATGGCCATTTCTTTTAAATTATTAATACTTGTTTTATAATTAGATGCATTTTATACATAAGGCTCACATTTATCCAACTTTATTCTGAAAATAATTTAAGAAGATGATTAATGCTATAGGCTGTCAGTGTGAATCTGTTTCCCCTCAAAATTTTTCAATAATTTTCCCTTCAAAATAGAAAATAGAACAATTTTATCTGCCTAACTATATATATGGGCCTAAAAATAACTGTATAATACCTAGTCAATCTCCTAGATCGATATGAAGCCCTAACTGTAGAATGAGAAGACAAGAGGTTAAAAAAGATTACCCAGAGTATAGAGCAATGGGAAATAAAAAGGCCTCAATGCTTTAAAAACTCATTCTACGTCCCATTGCTTTTCATTTTCCATTCAGTTCAGCTTCAAAGGCCATCAAAATTTGGACTTTCCTAGATCTGGTAGAGTGCTTTCTACATCATGATCACTCTCATCCAATGAATCTGTTCCTCTAGAGATTTTATTCTTACTACCTGGTGTGATAGTCCAGAAGCACATTATCCCCTTATTATTATCACTGATAGTTTAGTACATTTGAATCATATGGAGTATGAAATATATTATTAAATAACTCATGCAAAAATATAAACTCTTCCGTTACACATACTCCTAACTAGTTAGGTGGCTGGGATCTGAGCATCATGGCTCAGATTCAATCCAGGCAAGAAATAACACTGGTGGTTATTTCTAATTAACCACCCAAAAGCCAGAAGTGGGTCTGTGGCCCAAGTAATCGAGCACTATTCTTTATCAAAAAGCTCAGAGATCATGCCCAGACCCTGAATTCAAGCCCCAGAACTCTCTCTCTCTCTCTCTCAATCTCAATCTCAATCTCTCTCAATATCTCTCTCGCTCGCTCGCTCTTGCACACACACACACACACACACACACACACACAATAAACATTCAAGAAAATAGGAACTAATTCCCCATGTGAGATAGTTTATCAAGGAGACATGTAATTACTCATCCTGTTAATGACCTGGTACAAATACAGAGCATGCTTTAAATGCTTAGAAATCTTCAGTAGAGCCAAAAGCTATACAGGCTTGAAACCAGACAGACTCTTTCTGTGCACTATTAGCTATTCCAGGACAGTTATTTAGCCACGAGTAGACTATAGGGAAGTAAATGTACATATTGAACATCTAATAAAATCTGTAGAATATCTGACTCATGGTGGTACTTCATAAATGATGGTTGTGGTGGTTGTAGTGATGGTTGATACACAGAAAATATGGGTCAATTCACAAATGAAGGAAAAAAAACTATTCACGGTGAATAAGTTAGGAGAACCTACTCTACAGAAAAAAAATACATTTGCATCATTTTCTAGCTGGGCTGCTTAAATATGTTAGAGGAAGAGCTCAGGTAACTGAAAGAATTTTTGAGTAGCTCTCCAAATTTCTCAGGATGTACCTCATAACTGATCAAGATTCAACCCCATCATTTCACAAGTTTATAAACAAAAACCCAGGAATGATTGGCTCCAAAACAAACAAAGAACAAAGCCTGAAATTCTTTCAACACTGAATTGACCAGGATCTTAAGGTTCTACAGGGTCTTCTGTTTCTCTATCCTTCTCCAGGTAACATAGTTCAGCTATACTACTGAACCTGATGGCTTCATGATGCCTTCTGTTTTTCTTTTGTGACTAAATTTGTCTATCTTTCCTAAAATGGAACCATTTGGAGAATGGCAAATCTCTGCCATGTTAGCCTGAAGCAAAAGGACAAAGTAACCATGGATGGAAAGACTTTCAAACTGTGAGATAAAATAAACCTTCACTACTTTTAAGTTGATTGTTTTTGACACTTTGTTACAGGAGCTAAAACATAGAACTTGTCAATGACAAGAAAAGAACAAATAATGGTTTTTTGGGGTGGAGGTGTTTTTTGGTTAGATGTTTTTATTTGTTTGTTTGTTCCTTTACCCAGAAACTCAGAACAGTAACTGATAAACTCCTGAGTCCTCTATCCAGAACAATCTCCCTGTCTATTGGGTTAGGATGAGCACTTACTTTCAACTGCCTTGATTTTGTTTTCCCATGGGACACAAGCAGCTTTGAAGTTCTCGAAATCACGGAGGAATTTTGCCCATTTCTATAAAAGAAATAAAAACAGCAGAGCTCAATCCCTTGGATTGTCAAGATATTTATCGCTACCGCAAAATGACATGGTAATGAGTTTTGAAATATCTTCCTGTCACTAAATATTACTTTCTTGTGAAAAGAGAGAAGAGCAAGTTTCATATGCCTGTGTATTTTCCACCATCCTCAGACTAACCTACTTCAAAATCATGTTTATTGTCAGCCACGGTGGCTCAGACCTATTATTCAAGATATTTGGGAAGTCGAGGAAAGAGAATTACAAGCTAGGATTCCAAGTTTTGGGTCAGTTGCAGTAACATAATGAGAGACTATTTAAAAAAATTGTCCAAAAATTTTTATTGACCCCTGTGTTAGAGAAAATGCTGACTGCTCCCCAAAAAGTCTGAGTATTCTACCAGGCAGTAAGAAAGTAGGAATTAAAATATGCTCTATGTTTAAGTAACATTCACTATGTGATGAACATGATGAAATATAAATGAGATACAGTTCCTGACTGTAATTCTCCAGGTCATTTCAACACAGGGTGGTCATGCAAATCTGTCTCTTAGTATACAACAGTATATATCAACTTAAATTTTCCTTCCTCCACAGTTGATTTTTAATTGCCTCTCCACAAATTTTAATACGCAGGTTCACTGCATGTATAGTTACATATCTGTGCTTTATGCATACAAGAGGATGGATTTTTGGTTTTAACCTCTTCGATATAAACAGTGTTCTGCCTTTTTGGGGGTCGGGGGGAGCAGAGAGTTGACATGCTAGAAGCCAGAACAATTTGTGAACATACCTACCTTGGCCATCATCATCTTAAATGCAAACCACTGCTTTCCTTTTCCTTTCCCAAGAGCCCCTTCATTTTCGCTCACAAATTTTTTTGCTTCCCTGAGAAAAGAAATCCAAGTAAGAGGTAGAAGTAGGAGGCAATGAATAAACTTACGATTTTTATTGCATGTGTAACTTTTCAATTCTAGTGAAGAAGAGTAAGGTAATTTAGTCCTCCCCCTTATTAGTCCTCTAGAGTCATTGAAAAGTAAGGAATTTATGCTAAGTGTCAAAATAGAGAATCCTAGTCTTTCTCGTTTCTACTACATGTGAATTTAAATCGGAAGTTTATTTTGGATCCTGGCAATTAGAATGTTTAGTTTTAAAATACTTTCCTTCCCTTAAAAACTTCTTTTATAAAAATGAGAGTTTAGGACACACTGACATAAAATATACTTACTGTCCTGGTATTTAATCCCATAAAAGCAAGTGTGTGTGTGTGTGTGTGTGTGTGTGTGTGTGTGTGTGTCAGTGTGGGACCTGAGCTCTGGGCCTGGGCGCTGTCCCTCAGCTCTTCAGCTCAAGGATAGCACTCTACCACTAGAGCCACTACACCACTTCTGGCTTTTTCTGCTTATGTGGTGCTGAGGAATTGAACCCAGGGCTTCATGCATGCGAGGCAAGCACTCTACCACTGAGCCACCTTCCCATCCCCAAAGCAAGTATGGTTCAAAGCAGAAAGATCATACTACAAAGCAAATAGGGTTAAAGAAACCCAGGAAAATGATTTTTTTTCTTTGTCTTCATGCCAAAAATGGGCATATTTTCAACTAGGGATGAATCCAACTCTTCACTCATTCTATCCCTTGAACCCTAGTCCCTAACCTAACCTTTTTGTTTATCTTTTGTTACATTGGTAGCAGAAGCAGCATCATTTTCTCTGGTGTTAGATAAATCTGCAGGTGTTTGAATCATCATGTACTATAAAATACTGTTATTGTGAATATTTAGGACTATTGTACACAAAAAGTATTCACCAATCTTTCATCTTTTAAGGTGTAGTTTGTGTTTTAAGACGTTTATCTATATCTTGCTTCGAGGGGCTTTGTGAAACCATGGATTCCAAGGTCCATGAAACAGCATTGCACCTGAGGAACCTCCTCAGATTTGAATAGCCCTTCATATTATGACAGAGAAGCTCATATGCTCCTTTCTATTAAGTAGAGCATATGGTCTTCAGCTCCTCAGAGAAGAAAAGTCCATGACAACTCTATTTTTGAAGTAATTTTCACTGAACAGACAACCATCAAAAGTGACTGTATTAGAGTTAATACTGAGAGACCAAATTTCCATAGACTTTGTGGCTTCAAACACAGACATTCACTTTCCGAGTGAAAAGAAATACACATCACCAAATCCCAATTTCCCTGACAGCAGATTTCTTAACCAGAAGACATCTTCTACTGTGCAACCAGAAAGAAGTTACGAAAAGAAATTGCATGAGACAGAGATCAGTATTAGTCAGCACACTTCACACTAACATGTCTGTGACAAAATCACACTGCAAGAAAATAAATTACAGAGTCACTCAAACACTACAAAGCAAGAAAATATCTATATTTTTCCTGTAGTAAATCTACCTTTCCATCCATTTCCATTTAAGTAAAGAGGCTTGATTCCATGGCTAAAATGACTTTGTGGCTACTCTTTGAATACCTATTGGCCCTACACGATCCAAAGATCTGACTGAAAAATGTGTGTCATCCCCTTAAACTTCCTGCCAAGATTGTAATCTTGTCTCTGGGTCTCGGGGCTCAAACAAGCCTGGTACAATGTGCTCTGCTCTTTGAGCTGTAACCCCAGACCCAGTGATAAATAATTGAGTGAGGTCTATTTAATGACAATAATACCTGGCCTCATCATTCATTTATCAACCTCTTGTGTTGGTAATTAGAATAATAAAGTCTAGTGGGCTTTCAAGAATGCTTTCACAGTTAGTTGAAGGAAAACACTTTGGCCTAACTTACAAAATAGATAATTTACCCATAGCATATGATACAACCCTGACTGCACAGAAGAGTTAGGACATGAGCCTTTGACACATTCTCCTCCCAGGAAACACATTCCTCTCTGGGTTAGGTTAAGTTGACTTTCCTCTCCTCATGTTTTCAATTTGACGTAATGATTGAGCAATCTATTTATCACTCAAAAGTAAATAGAAACTACACCAAAACTGGTGTGTAGGACAACTATAATCAGAACATGTATTCATGAACATTTAAAGCAATAAGAAGAATAAAGAGTCTCTTTCTACTGAGTACCATCACTTTAAAAAAATTAACCTATAGTCAAAAGAACTCTAACTTGTCCAGAAATACTGCTGAGTAACTCAAAGACTGTTACAGAGATGAAAAATCTACACGAAGGATGCGGTGTGGTGATAGGGCACTTGCCTCACATACGTGAGATCCTGGGTTTGATATTCAGCACAAGCAAAAAATACCTGTGTGTGTGTACGTGTATGTATGTGTGTGTGTGCGTGTAAAAAGCTTTATATGTGTGTGTGTGTATATATTTAAATGCTATTATATATATGGGTAAAAAGTGATGCTAGTAGTAATAGAACTCCATAATTAGTTCATAACTAGTTTGATACTCAGCACAAGTAAAAAATGCCTGTGTGTATAGATATATACATATGTATATATGTGTGTATATATACATATATGTTAAAAGCAGCATATATATAAGCTATTACATATACAGGTACAAAGCTATGCTAGAACTCCATAATGAGTCATAATTAGTTATCTTATCTTGTAGTGATTCAGAGTATGTGTTGTTTAAAGAGGTGCCTATGGCAGTACTTTCAATAGTTATAATGCTCAGTAGGTTCATCTATTAAATGGGGATGATAATGTAGCTACTTTGGAGGGCTTTCATAGCACTAAAATGGACAGAAAGTATATAGCTATTTGGACTATGATAAATAGCAAAAGCATGATAATTTACCTATGATTAAGAACAGTTGTGCTAATAAGATTAGTTTTTGTTTCGTAGTGCTTAATACAACACATGCTACCCGTGTGAATTTCAACACTTCTAATGGAATTAACACTGGTGAGAATGGATGATGGGTGACAATTGAGACTTGGCTCCTGACTGCTGGTACCTTGAATCACTGCAGTTTTATACAAATTTTGCAAGTCTTCTCTATGCTAGATCATTTAAGTCATTATCTCTAGGAGTAAGATACGTGCACCATTTTTTTAAAGTTTCTGATCCATTCCAATGTGCAACAAGTCAGAAGAGAAATTTAGAACAAAACTGAATTCATTTTCTGAGAATACTAAATTTAAGAGATCAAGCAATTGTCAGAAGATTGCACTAAAATAACCCACTCTATCACACACAATTGTTTCCATGTCCCCTCGGAATGCCAGTACTTACATATTCAGAAACATGTTAATTGCCTGTGTGAATAACTTTATTTTCTATATCCCTAGTGCATTCTTGATCTTATATCACTAAAGCAGCAAAAATAAGTTGCATATGCAGGTAACCTCTCTTGGCTTGTATATGTATAATATGTATGTATGTATATTTTCTTTTACATACAACCGTTCACAGATAACATGTATGTAGGCTATTAGGGCTTCCAAAATTTTTATCATTAGCAAACCTTAGTGACCAGTATTTATAAAGAATTCTTAAACAAAGGAGGGGGTAACAATGCTTGACAAGAAATGTACTCATTACCTTACTCGTGTAACTGTAAACCCTCTGTACAGCATCTTTACAATAAAATAAAATTTAAAAATAAAGAATTCTCAAGGCACTTGTTTTACTAGCTCCAATGTTATGTGTGGAGCTACATGGAAGCCAGATGCTGGGACTGGTGAAGAGCTGAAAGCCAACTTGAGCAAGCCAAATCTGTATTCAACTCTAAGTCCCTACTAATGGAAATATTCCAGACTTTGGATACCTTCTTTGGTCCCTCGGGCTCTCAACAGTGTTAATTTTCATGGCTGGCTTAAATGTCAAATAAACGAAAACACATTTTAATCATACCCTGAAGGTCAGTCAAGCATCCCAAGGTAATTTTAGATATATTAAGGGGGTGGGGAGAAAACTTAACTAACTAAAGAACTGGGCTTCAGGGGTTTAATATATTAAAACAACAACAACAACAACAAACAAACACTAGATTCTCTCTCTGCTTACTAATTATTTCCTAATTCTGCGCTGTACCCAGTCTATTGAAAATTTAATTTACCCTTTGAAAACTCTGTTATACTGGACATGGAGCTGTGGCTCAGGTAGTAGAACACTATCCTTGAGCAAAAAAGCTCTGACAACTACCTCCTTTGTACAACTACTTAAAGATGACATAAATAATTTATAGAAGTAAAACAAAAATCCTTTATATTACAGTAGCAAGGGAAAGAAGAATATATAGATTGCCCAGGCACTAAAAATCTTGTGCTCTGTTTTAAATATTGAACATAGATCACAAACTGGCTTTCTTTTGTAGAAGAACAAAAATATCCAAGATTATACTATTAGCATTAGCAGTGACAACTGAGGGATAACAGAATACAGCATCTCTGAATATGTCACTTAAGTAGTATGCCACATAATAATTTTAAAAAGTCAAAATATATGCCAAAATATGATCGAAGACTTACTTTGAGCTGCAAGCACTTGATAAGAAATAGATAAAAGTCCTCTGCATTCCTATTTACCTGAAAGCAGGATATACATTTATAAAGAGGTCTCCATCAACCCTTATGTAACAAAATTACCATAATGAATTCTTTCTTGGTAGTAATTGTATAAATCACTCATTAGCGATCTTCTTTAAATTCTATTTACAGGATTTTATGTTTTATTTATTTTGGTTGTCTTTTGTTTTAATGACTATATTTATCAAGGAATTTTCAGTACTACTACTGAAAAGACAGGCAGTATTATAGGCTATAAGGTACCAGGCCATGTCTGTATACATCTAGGAACTTCCCAGCCTACTATTATAACCCTGATGTTTAACTCAAGGCTAATGCTCAAGGCTACCACTTGAGCCACAGCTCTACTTCTGGCTTTTTAATATTTTTTGGTGA